TACACTGTAGAATGAATGTAGTTTGATCCAGCATTAACTACCAGGGCTCAATGCTATGTAAACATGGAACTTGTAGTTTAATGCGGCATCATCAACACCCATTGGCCAAGAATGCTAAAGACTTTGTAGAACTACAACTCCCGAGATTCCGTAACATTGGGTCAGGGCAGTTAAAGTGGGGTCAAACTGCAGTGTAGATGCACCCTCCGCCATTAGCAACCTGTCCCTGGAGAGTCTTAAGGGAATTAAAATACAATTATAGGCAGTGGGAATAAACATGAGAGAGTGATTCCTGGCACATTTAGAAGAAAATCATCACTTCTCTAACTCTTGAGATGCACTGACTAACCATGGATTGTCTACACAATTTCTCCCAATAGCAAGGGTAGGATTGCCCGCAAGCAGAACAAGAACGGACTGACCATATTTGGAATCAAATGAGGCAATAGACATTCCCATGTCGGGTGGCTGTATTTGACCGTGAAGTCCAAAGTCTACACTTACCTCATTCTACCTACTCACTAACACTGGGATTATTTGCAGATGAAAAATATGTTTTGCTGCTCACTTGTGAGCCCAAAGGTGACACAACACTCTTGTGGACTCATTTCAGGGAGAGGTGTGGTTAGAAATGTCCTCCTATGTTCAGTGCTCAAGCTGCATCGGGACTTGGGGGAGTTCCTCCAGCCAGCCATGGCCAGTTGGGGGATTTTGGGTGATGCCAGCCAAAAGAAAGAACTTCCCCAAACTTTTGGCTTTAAAACACAAAAGTTTCACTTTCCAAAGAGATGCCCACTCTGTGAAGGGATATAGATGTTGAAAGTATGCACTTGCCATAGTTTAGGATAGGCATGGGCAAAGTTGGGCCCTCCAGGTGTTTTGGACTTCAACTCCCACCATTCCTAACAGCCTCAGGCCCTTTCCTTTCCCCCCTCAGCCACTTAAGCGGCTGAGGGGGGAAAGGAAGGGGCCTGAGGCTGTTAGGAATGGTGGGAGTTGAAGTCCAAAAACACCTGGAGGGCCCAACATTGCCCATGCCTGGATTAGGAGGACACTTGTGTGCCATGGAATACACATATCTTTGAACTGGATTGAATGGACTGGATTGTGGTAAAAAGGTGAACCCTTTTGGCAAGGAGTATGGAGTTCACTTCTTTTTGGGAGCGACTTTAGGCTTGGTGGTCTTGGGCTTGGCTTTCGCCTTGGGCTTCAGAGCTTTGGCGGGGCTCTTGTCCCTGACTTGTCCATTATTGTCCATCTTGGGCCTGTAAGTTCATCCTCTTGCAAATCCCTTCATACCATACTGGGCAAAAGAGGCCCTGGTGGGATGGACTTTATTGGCACCATCCCTCAATAATCCTGAATAATTTGTCCCTCTTTCTCTGTTTTATCCTCCTGTTCTCATCACTCTTTACTTTGCCCATTACTTTCAGGAGAGAGTATTTGCTGCCATCTACTGTTCAGTTTTTGTATTGCGCCCTGTTGCTTTCTTAATATCTCATAGATATTGGGATGAGTTGATGCTTCTCTCCTGTTCCCTCATGGGGAGCTGGAGCTGACAGAGGGAGCTCATTCGCGCACTCCCCGGATTCGAATCTGAGACCTGTTGGTCTTCAGTTCTGCCGGCACAAGGGTTTAACCCACTGCACTACCGGGGGCTCCTATATGGAAGATGAAAAGAAAAAAAAAGCATGAGAAGGAGGATGTTTGTTGAGGGTGATGCAAGAGGTGTGAAATGTCCTTGGAAATCCTATAAAGCCCCAACTGAGTTGCATCTCGGGGAGGCACTTCCTTTTATTTATTATTTATTTATTTATTTGCTTTATTTTTATACCGCATTTTTCAGCCTAAATCGGCGACTTTTTTTTACTGCTACTGGCAGAGCTCTCTATTTGTAAATAAAGGGTTTTCGTATATCTCTTCTGCCTCCCAGTGCCTCACTGAAAACCATCCTGGGGGGGGGGGGGTTATAGGGCTTCACCTTCTTAAAACAGACATCGCAGTTAGGTCTTACTATTAGTCTAGTCCACAAATTGCAGCTATTGAGTCCCACAAATGCACTGAATCCTCACTTTTGCTCCAGTCTATGCTAGGCATCTATTTTCCAGAAGGATCTGAAAAGGGAGAATAAATAATGTTTGCTTGCTGCCTGCAAGTGGAAGGAATGTGCCTTCATGCTCCAGGAAACATTCTTCACATTGTTGTGCTCTTTTCAAAGGTTAAAAAAACACCAAAGTGAATCTGTGTTAACTCTAAAAAGGAAGGAGGAAGGGAAGAATCAAGCAACACATATAAGGTCCCTTCCACATAGCTGAATAAAACCCCACATTATCTGCTTTGAACTGGAATATATGGCAGTGTGGACTCAGATACCCCAGTTCAAAGCAGATATTGTGGGATTTTCTGCCTTGATATTCTGGGTTATATTACTATGTGGAATAGCCCTAAGACAAACTCATTTTAGCATTTGTAGATATCAATCATCAGTCTGCTTCTTCAGATCCGCAGATGGAGAATGAAATTTCACCCATATCTATTTCAGAAAATAGATAATACACATACCAAGTGGTGCAGTGGGTTAAAGAACTGAGCTGCTGAACTTGTTGACTGAAAGGTGGCAGGTTCGAATTTGAGGAGTGGTGTGAGCTCCCACTGTCAGCCCCAGCTTCTGCCAACCTAGCAGTTCAAAAACATGCAAATGTGAGTACATCAATAGGTACCACTCCAGCGGGAAGGTAACGGCACTCCATGCAGTCATGCAGGCCACATGACCCTGGAGTTGTCTACGGACATGCCGGCTCTTTGGATTAGAAATGGAGTTGAGCACCAGCCCTCAGAGTTGGACACGACTGGACTTAATGTCAGGGGGAAATCTTTACCTTTACTATATGTTGGAAAGCCAGAGTGATATAGTGATTTTAGCACTGGAATATGATTCAGGAGATCAGAGTTCAAATCCACACTTGGCTGTGGATGACCTTGGACATGTCACACTCTCTCAGCCTGAGAGAGAGGCAAAAGTAAACTACTCCTGAACAAATCTAAGAAAGCTCAATAATAGGTTCACCTTAGGGTCACCATAAGTCGTAAATGTCATGAAGGCACTCAACCACAAACATAGCTGTTGGTACTAACTGTGAAAAATAAATATTCTCTCTGAGCAACATAGCATTCAATGCATTGTCTTGTGACTGGTAAATCCTATTGCATTTAATTAGGCTTTCTCATGGGTAAAGTCAGGTCTCATCTACACTGGTCAGGGTAAACCAAGCAAGACGGATGAATGGCATCCTTGAAGTGACTGGATTGACCTTGAAGGAGCTGGGGGTGGTGACACCGACAGGGAGCTCTGGCGTGGGCTGGTCCATGAGGTCACGAAGAGTTGGAAGCGACTGAACGAATGAACAACAGCAACAAACCAAGCATAGGCAGGTGTTTTGTTCTTCAAGTCCCACAATTCCTAATATTCTACTGGCTTATATAACAGACTTATATATGCAGTTAAACTGCATTGAATGGCATGATATTAGCCTACAATGATCATATAACACAGTGTCAAACTGCATTATAAGGTGGTGTGGATGAGGCCACACATTGGACGGGTGCCACAGGAAGGTTATCAAAGCAGATAATCCACATTATCCATTTGAACTAGATTATTATTATTATTATTATTATTATTATTATTATTATTATTATTTTATAAGCTGCCCTTCTCACCCAAAAGGGACTCAGAGTGGCTTACAAGTTATATGTACATATAATATACAATGTTAGTATTATATATTACTATATTGTACTATACTACTATTCTGTAATATTATTAATAATATTACATGTAATATGAAATATAAAATTATAATACTGTATTATTATATTGTATTACTTTATAATATTATCAGTATTGTATGTGTATACTATATATTATATTGGGTTGTTGTAGGTTTTTCGGGCTGTATTGCGATATTCTAGAAGCATTCTCTCCTGACATTTCACCTGCATCTATGGCAGGCATCCTCAGAGGTTATTAGCACATATGATTAGCACATTATATGAGTCTACACTGCCATATAATCAAGTTCAAAGCAGATAATCTGTATTTTATATGGCAGTGTAGATGGATCCTGAGAATTATCAGCACACATTAATAGCACATAAAATTATTTGCACATAGTATTATTAGAACATGTTATTAGCACATTATATGAGTCTACACTGCCATATAATCCAGTTCAAAGCAGATAATCTCGATTTTATATGGCAGTGTAGATGGATCCCGAGAATTATTAGCACATATTATTACCACATAAAATTATTAGCACATTATGAGTCCACACTGCCATATAATCCAGTTAAAAACAGATAACCTGGATTTTACATGGCAGCGTAGATGGATTCCGAGAAAGTATGGCCCCATCTACACTTCCATATGCAGTTCAGTGCAGTTAAACTGCATTATATGAATCTACACTGACCATATAAAGCAGTTTCAAATTGCATTCTATGGCAGTGTAGTTGGGGACTGTGACTTGCTCATGATCACCGAGAAGGTCTCCAAGGCAGAGCAATAATTCAAACTTTGGTCTCTGCACCCAGATTACATCCACAACCATACTGCCATATACTGCAGTTTGATACTGCATTATATGATTACTGTAGACTCATATAACGCAGATTGAACTGGATTGTATGAGTCTGCCATATAATTAAGTTCAATCTGCATTATAATGGCAGGTTATATGGAGCTTCAGTGGAACATGTCATTTACAAGGTAGTTCCTGTCCATTCTACAAGTTTTAACAGAAATGTGTTGGCTAAAATGCGTAGAATGGACAGGAACTGTATCGTAAATCAGGATGACACATGACTCAGATATTTTGAATTATTGTACAGGTTTCTTCTCTTGCTGGGTGATAATTGGTGCCTTCTTGATATATGAGATCACCCTTATTGTGGGAATGATGGGAGCTGTAGTCCAGCCAATCTCGAAGAAAGGCTAGTGGAAGAAGAGAGGGGAAATCTAATGAAAGGGGGGATTGTTGTGTGTTTGTGTCTCTGTGTGTAGTGGGATGGTGACAGCTCGTGTACAGCTGGGAGGAGGCGGTAGTGCTGGCAGCTGTTCCTGCGTCTTGGGGGTTTCATTTCAGCTTTTTCTGTTTCTGAGTGGTTGGCCTGCATTTTGTGTGAGTGTGCAGGGAGTTTCTGGTGTGATGGAACAAAAAGTTAGTTTCCCTTTTCTGCATCAGGCAGCACCAGATAGGAAGAGCAGCGTGAAAGCGAAGAGTGTGGACCAACAAGAGGAGCAACAAGAGAGGAAGAAAACCTAAAAGAAGAAAAAAGGTAAATAAAATAACACGGGAAGGCGGATTTAAATTTTTATTATACTATATATTTATCAAGAGGCTTGCAAACTGTTAGAATAGATCTGGCAACTTATGCAGATTTTGAAACAGCCACTGGATTTAATAGTTTTAAGAAGTAAGGCTGCATCTGCACAGTAAAATGAATACAGTTTGGCACCATTTGAATTGCCTTGGTGCAATGCTATGCAATCTAAGGAGCTGTAGTTTGGCAGAGAAGGCTAAAGACCTCAAAAAATTACAACTCCAGTAATTCCATAGTATTGAGCCATGACAATTCAAGTGAGGTCAAACTACATTATTTCTACAGTGTAGGATACATCCGCTGGCGCAGCGGGTTAAACCGCTGAGCTGCTGTACTTGCTGACTGAAAGACTGGTGGTTTGAATCCGGGGAGCGGGGTGAGCTCCTGCTGTTAGCCCCAGCTTCTGTCAACCTAGCAGTTCAAAAACTTGCAAATGTGAGTAGATCAATAGGTACTGCTCTGTCTGGAAGGTAACTGCACTCTATGCAGTCATGCCAACCACATGACTTTGGAGGTGTCTACTGACAATGCCAGCTCTTCAGCTTAGAAATGGAGATGAGCATCATCCTCCAGAGTTGGATACAACTAGATTTAATGTCAAGGTGAAACCTTTACCTTTACTTACGATGCACCCTAAGAGGTGAAGGAAAAGAGGCTGTGGAAGGAGAAGCAAGGGACACTCCAGTTTTTCCAAAGTATTCTATCCCTCTGAAAATGCCCATAATGTATTGAAAGCAAGTGATGGAATTATTACTCAGGACAGGGCAGAAAAATATTCTCTTTCCAAAAAAATATTCTCTTTCCCTTGTTATGGAGCTGTGGAATTCTGCAAAATTCTTTCCTATCCCAATGCTGTCTCATTTGCACAAACATTTGCTGCTCTTGCTTTGTTTCTTTGGGTGGGACTTTTCATGCAACTGCTCTGTCCCAGGTCACTGAGTTTTACAAGGTATCCAGAGTTTTATCACTCCCGTGAAATCCTCCTGCTGCTTTTAACCATATCTATCCTTCACCAAAATTAAATCCATCGAGGGCATGACAATCCAATAGGAGCCCCCAGTGGCGCAATGGGTTAAACCCTTGTGCCGGCAGGACTGAAGACCGACAGGTCGGAGGTTTGAATCTGGGGAGATCATGGATGAGCTCCCTCTTCCAGCTCCAGCTCTCCATGCGGTGACATGAGAGAAGCCTCCCACAAGGATGATAAAACATCAAAATATCTGGGTGTCTCCTGGGCAACGTCCTTGCAGACAGCCAATTCTCTCACACCAGAAGTGACTTGCAGTTTCTCAAGTCGCTCCTGACATGAAAAACAAAACAAAACAATCCAATGTCTTCTGGTGCACACGCTGTAGAATGAATGAAGTTTTGACACCATTGCTCAATAGTATGTGACCATGAGAATTGTAGTTTTACAAGGTCCCTAGCCTTCTCTTCCAGACAGTGCTATAAGTCCTCACCAAGCTACAGCTCCCATTTCTTGTTTCTTGAGCATTCATTGAGCTATTTTCGTAACTTGTTGAATGACTACAAAGCATATCTTATAAATGCCTTAACTTGGCAGTCATTCAACAGTGACAGTGAATTAATTCTCTGTTGTCCTACTTTTTCCAGCTTTTAAAATACTCTCTCCTCTCATTTTCTCCCTTTGTCTTCAGCTTCCTTCCATTATGGAAGGGAATTTTACCCTTCCCAGTAGACTCAGGAAAAAGCAAACTGCTGCAACACCCTCCTACTTCTTCTGTATTAATGGCTTTTGACATTTTGACTACACTCTGATGTTGTTTGGCATTATGGAGCCACCCGGTGGTTCAATGGGTGCTGGCAGGACTGCTGACCGAAAGGTCGGCGGTTTAACTCCGGGGAGCAGGGTGAGCTCCCATCTGTTAGTACCAGCTTCCCATGTGGGGACATGAGAGAAGCTTCCCATAGGATGGTAAAACATCCGGGCATCCCCTGGGCAATGTCATAGAATCGTAGAATCGAGTTGGAAGAGACCTCATGGGCCATCCAGTCCAACCCCCTACCAAGAAGCAGGAATATTGCATTCAAATCACCCCTGACAGATGGCCATCCAGCCTCTGTTTAAAAGCTTCCAAAGAAGGAGCCTCCACCACACTCTGGGGCAGAGAATTCCACTGCTGAATGGCTCTCACAGTCAGGAAGTTCTTCCTCATGTTCAGATGGAATGCAGACATCCTTGCAGACGGCCAATTCTCTCACACCAGAAGTGACTTGCAGTTTCTCAAGTTGCTCCTGACCCCCCAAAAATGGCATTATGTCTTTTTTTTTGCATTTATAAAAGAGTAGATATTATCTATAAGTGGACAAATGCAGGAGAAGTAGGTGGAATAATCTTTGCAGAAGCCTGGGAACCAATAGATATTGAGGTTTTGCTCATGATGATTTTGGAGAAAACTCTGGAACTCCCTGGCGTTGGTGGTTATTTTTCCAGGAAAGACAGAAAGATACAAGGAACCCGATCTCTCGTTGTGGTTGTTTTTTCCTTTGGAGATAGGCAGGTCTGTTTTCTTTGTAAGAGAAATAATCTCTTTAAAGAATAGCCTTGGCACAGAGGCCTGTCTGGAATCTGAAGTCCGGACTCCAGATGGAAATGAAGGCGGGGAACACAAAGCGGAGCCAAACACACCAAGGCGGGGAGAGACTGGAAAATTCAGATGAGGATTACAATAGTGAGATAATAAGTGCCTGGCCTGGCAGCGAGATAGTATCATGCTTATGAGAAATATCTTGTGTTGAAGTGTCCCACCAGTAATCAAGATTGCATGAGTTAATATCTAAAAAATCGTGGAACAAATGCTGTAATTGCTAAAGACAATCCCTGCCTGATCCCTTAAATACCTGTGGTCTGAAAACCGTGGAAGTTTTTAGATAAGCACACCAAAATAAAATCAAGAATCAAAGAGGAACAAGCTCTGGCAAACTGCTTCACTAAAGAGGTGATGCTGAAAAAATCCCAATATTCGGCACTTTCAAAGCACTTCTGTTTCTCTAACAGAGGAGGAACCCCAGCTCCCCTAAAGTAAGCTCCTGCACCTGGGATTTGAATTATTTGCCATTCCTAAGAATGCTGGACTTCAAAGGCTAATGGGAGTTGCAGTTCAACAGCATCTGGATGACCACAACTTCCCCCATCTTCTTTGTATATGTGCTTTCAAGTCCCCTGTTGATGTATGGTGACAAATTTGTGAACATCCTGTGGCTCCTCCATGATGACATGATGGCAACAGCCTTGGACAGCAATGGTTCCCAAAGAGACCCATTTAAGGTGGAATCAGGTGTCAAACAGGGATGTGTTATTGACCCAACCTTATTTTCCATCTTCATTGCTATGATACTTCATCTTGTTGATGGGAAGCTGCCCATAGGAATGGAAATCATCTATCCGACAGATGGCAAGCTATTTAACCTGAGCAGACTGAAAGGCAAAACCTAGGTCACAACAAGATTTGTTATAGAACTCCAATATGCTGATGACAATGGTGTCTGTGTGCATTCAGACACTATTGTGGACTCAAAAAAATGATGGATCTGGACCAAACTTTGTATGAATACTCAATATTTATTTATTTATTTAATACACTTGTATACCGCTAATATCTCAGCCTGGATCGGCGACTCATTGCGGTTTACAGCAATTAAAAAACAATCTCCAATTTAAAAACATATACACATACAATACAAATTATTGGGCCACCAATAATAATCCCATATATCTCGAATTAAAATCATAATCCAGAATTCGTTGTCCATATTTTCCTGTCCTTATGGCCAAATGTGAACACTGGTGGAGTTTGGGGAAAATAGACCTTGGCATTTGGGAGTTGTAGTTGCTGGGATTTATAGTTCACCTGCAATCAAAGAGCACTCTGAACCCCACCAACGATAGAATTGGGCCAAACTTTCTACACAGAAACCCCATGACCAACAGAAAACACTGTGTTTTCTGATGGTCTTTGGTGACCCCTTTGACAGCCCTCCCAACCTCCCCCCCCCCGGGGCTCCCAACCGCCAAGTTGAGAAACACTGCATTATCATGTTTTCTCCTTTTCTTTTCCCAGATGGCTGCTGTTGTTGCTGGCTTGGCTCGGTTGCTTCAGCCTGCCATGGCACTCCCTGGAGGTGGATCTGGTGGCCAAGGCTTAGCCCCTTGGTACCTCCTTCTGGGTCTTCGTCTGGTAGCCCTTTTTATTGCTGATGGACCTTGGTCCTCTGCCCAGCCTGACCTGGCCTGCAACTGGACCCTGGCAGATGTCAACACCCAGCCATTCTGCAGTGCCCTCTGCTTCAACCAGCGCTTCTCTTCACCAGTGTCCTCCATGTGGGGGTTTGCCTTTCTGGCTGCCCTGCTCCCGGTGGGACTCATGAAGCTCATAAGGGCTGAGAAGAAGCACGAGAAGAAGATCGCAAGGGCAGCGAATGAGGAGCTGACCGATGGTATTGGCCTGAGACAAAATATGGCTGCTGGAATCAAAACTGCGGCAGGATCTGCTCCAACACCTGCCATGACTGCCTTCAAGACTGACCCAATTCCCTTGGAGACCAAGACTCCTTGTACCTGGCATTCAGTGGCCTTCGTCTTCTGTGTCATTCTCCTCTTGGCGATGGAGGTGTGCTTCCTCTGGGTTGTGATACTTCTGCAGGTCCCATCGGTGTCTGAAGCCACCTTCTTGTGTCTTCCAGGAGCGCAGACATGTCCCAAGGCGCTTGAATGTGTCGTGGCAGGGCAAGCTGACAAGCAGGTGGCATTGTGGGCCTTGGCTTTCACAGCAATGGTTGACATAGCTGCTTGCCTTGCCTACCTTCTCCTCAGAGCAGTGAGACTTTCCCCGTGCCATAGGAAATAACCAAACAGAGGAAACTGTTTAGAAAAGGCAGAACGTGAAAGACACCAGTGTGGGTGGTGACACACAAAAACAATGGAAGTAGTAGATTATCCAGAGATATCTGTTTTTTGGATTCAGTTTAATGAAAAGTTCTCAAAGCTCTGGACTCATTTTTCTTATCCGGTCCAATATATTCAAATCCACAGTTTTTGTAGTCAACATTCTTCCTTTTTGCTTCATGACTATCTGTCCTTGGTTTTGTTTTAAATGACTGGTTGACTTTTTGTGAATGCTAAGAGCTACTTAAGGGAGTCTGCCCCAAAAGTCAGACATCTATATAAATAAAAATGTAATGTTCGTTTGTGGGATTAACATAACTCAAAAACCACTGGGTGAATTGACACCAAATTTGGACACCATACATCTATCAGGCCAACAAGTGACCATCACTCATAAAAACACTGAAAAACACAGCAGAAGGGACTTAAAAAGACAAAAACCAAAAATTACATTACAAATTACATGCGCAAAACCGCACGCACACACAGACACATATATGCAAACACACATATGTTGCAGGTTCAAATCCAGGGAGCGGGGTGAACTCCCACTGTTAACCCCAGCTTCTGCCAACCTAGCAGTTCAAAAACATGCAAATGTGAGTAGATCAATATGTACCACTCCTATTGACTACACTCTGATGTTGTTTGGCATTATGGAGCCGCCCAGTGGTTGAATGGGTGCTGGCAGGACTGCTGACAGAAAGGTCAGAAGTTTGAATCCGGGGAGCAGGTGAGCTTCCATCTGTCAGCTCCAGCTTCTCATGTGGGGACATGAGCAGGGGTGGCTCAACCATTACGCAAAGTAAGCATTCGCAGTACAGTTGATTTTGCCCAGGGGTGCTCTTGAAGCGCTGTTGGGGAAAAATAGACCTTGACATATGCGAGTTGTAGTTACTGGGATGTATAGTTCATCTAAAATCAAAGAGCATTCTGAACTCCACCAATGATGGAATTGAACCAAATATGGCACATAGAACTCCCATGACGAATAGAAAATATACATCAATGATTGGTTGGGGGGGGGGGGCGCCAAAATACTGTGTGTTTACCATTGAAAATTACCTAGGGCCGCCTCTGGACATGAGAGAAGCCTCCCATAGAATGGTGAAACATTCAGGCGTCCCCTGGGTAACATCCTTGAAGACAGCCAATTCTCCCACACCAGAAGCGACTTGCAGTTTCACAAGTTGCTCATGACACGACAAAAAAATCTTTTTCTGCATAGTTCTTACTACCAATTGTCAAGCCTTTTGAAAGCTGTTTTAGTCTTTTAGTATTGGAAAAGCCCATATGAGTGTTGGGAAACCACCAGACAGCTGAACTATGAGGAAGGAGGCATCCAAAAGGCCTCGAGAGAGTGGCTCCACATGCAGGGTCTGAGATCCCCCACCCTAATTGAAACAAATGGAAAATAAGAGCAGCATTTTGGCTCTCCAGCAGTGTCACCAGTTTATCAAAACAGCAGTAAGCGCAGTGGTGTCATTCAGTCAGTTTGCATTGATTCATCCAAACCAGTTGTTAAAATTTGTTGGGTTTCCTAAACCACTTGTTGTGGGGATAGAAAATGAAAGGCTTCGCTGTAGCCCTCCCTCTTCGACTGTCACAGGCTCTGATTTATTCCTAGCCTCCGTGTCCGGCATCTGTGGCAGTGAGCCAAAAGCTTTTTCCTGCCAGCCTTTTCAGTGCATGCAGACAGGAAGAAGAGAAAAGAGTCAGTTGCAGCCTCCCTTTGGGGAAGGAAATACCACCAGGAAAGAAGAAATTGTGAGAACAACAGAAAGAGAAGGAGAAAAAGTAACCCAGAAAGATGCATGCCCTGATTCCCCCTTTACTGTTTGCTGCAGGCAAGTGCACATCTGCACATTTTTGCCAAATGAGGAACCACATAACAATTCAAATATTTTGATTGATATGCATATATTTTTGGGGAAAAATGATAGAACAAATTGTTTATTATTTTGAGTGTATAAAGAACGATACCGCAGAATTTACAATCTGGAATTAGTTACTAGGATGGTGCATAATTTCAGATTAGATCAGAACTCATATCTGATTCATTAAATTTGGGAATACAAAAGTGAGTTCCAAGGCATGCCGGAAAGGTGGTGGATTTAAAATTTGAATCAGTTACCCATTCCCCCCCCCCCCCCCCATAAATGTTCTGTAATATTCGGATGTCTCCCAAGGTCAGTTTGATATTCACTATAACCATTAATACAATATAATACTACTAATAATAATACAATATTATAATTATATATTTTATATTACATGTATTATTATTAATAATATTACAATATAATGGTGTAGTACAATATAGTAATATATAATACTGATGTGCCGTCACATCCAGACACTATCAAGTTAAAACTGAGATGTGCCTCTCTCTTTATCTGGGCGAACTGCGGGTGCCTTTCTTTGAAGCTCCAATTTCTCAGCAACTGAGGCCAGTCAAGAATCGAACATCAACAGAACATTTATTTTACAAAGTCCTTGCAGACTTGGCACAGCTTGATGAAGTTACAAACAAAAGCAGTCAATTTGGGAAACCATATAGATGTTCTTTCTTTGCTTTTTCCTTCACTTACCAAGTTAACTTTTCCCCAATGGTAGAAAAATCCTGGGATCTTTTACCCTAACCCTGAGCTGTTGTCTTTCAGAAAGAGCAGGTCTTCCCCTATCTAAGCTCAAGATTAGTCTTGGAGATGAAGTAATGGAGCCTTTCTCAATGACAGAGAAATCCAGAGATATTCCCTACCCCAGCACTGAGCTAAAGTCCTTTAGAAAGAGCAGGTCTTTCTCTATCTGAGCTCAATGCCAGTTTCTAAGGCAAGATGGTAACCTAAACCCTAAATCTCAATCATACTCACAATGGCTTGTCCAAGCTTGCCTAGCTGGCCACGAGCACATCTGAGGCTTTTTCTATACTAAAGAAGGCAGGGGAGATTTCTCCAAAATGGAGATCTCATCCCCAGGAAAAAGGGCGGTCTCTAGACCAAAAGATACCTTTTTTAAACCAATAGCTGCAAAGGGCCTGCAGGCTAGCTTTCAGCTTCTGTTAGTAATTAACTTTCAGGGTGCTGCTAAGATTGTAGCAACCCTGGGGGAAGATGCAAAGAGATGCTATTTTATGCAACTAAGGGCAATGCAAACCAAGCTCCTGGAAGATGGAACAACTGATATTGTACTATGCTAATAATTTAATATATTGTATGTATATATATTTTGTAAGCCGCTCTGAATCCCCTTCAGGGTGAGAAGGGCAGCATATAAATGTCATAAATAAATAAATGAATGAATAAATTAAGCAACTTTGGTAAAGCTGCCTTTAAATATTTTAAAATCTCATTCCTTTGGCCCCTTCTTTGTCGGCGCTGCCATAAGGAAGGCCCTGTGATGGTGGTTAATCACAGCCAACTTAACTGTAGTTTGGGAAGGCCAGGCCCCCAATAGTAGACACTGCAAAACGTCCTGCCTTAAACTCATTTTCCCAGTATGCCTCAGAAGGAGAATGCACCAATCAGGAGAGGAAAGAGAAAATTATCTTCCCCCTAAACAGTTTGTTGTTCTGAAAACTTAAATCAGTAGATGTATTAGTATTTCTGAAAGTTGGGGGGAATGATCCCCTCTTTTCTTGGATAGAAAATTCAAGGAGATAGCTCTTGTTTTTTTTTAAAAAATGTTTTTTAAAACATTAAAAGTTTGCCAAAAATCCATGAATAACATTTTGAAATTTGATGGGCTAACAGTCATAAATATGTTATATCACTGTAGCAAGTTTCATCAGGATAGCTCAAAAATGAGGGAAAGAGGAGCCCTTGAAGTTTCCCCACTGCCAGTGAAGTCTTCCCTATTGTGCAATCGCCACTGCCATTAACAAAGTACTTACAAAGAATCAAGAATCGTAAGTTTCATTAGAGTTCTGAAACTTTTACCCCCAAAATTTGGAAATAACTTTAGAAATGAAGCGCCAGCGCTCCCTATTTTTGAACACAGTTTAGAACCATTTTTTAAATGGATTGCACATGCCTAGTAGCTACCAACGAGTTTCAACTGTACCTAAATTCCAAATTAAATACAGGCAATAATTTCTGGGTGATGTATCTATAGCCATGTGTTCTTCTGTAAAATTAACACATTGCCCACATTCATGAATTAACACAATGCACCTATTTTTGTCTTTATGATCCACCCACACGTCAAAATATGGGATCTTTTGGCATCTTGTCCAGATTGTTCTCTTGTCATTCCATGGCTTCATAAGTTATTAATGACTTATGGCAACATAAGGCAAATCTATCACTGGCCTCTTTGAGGCTGAAAATATGTGGCTTGCCATGGTCATTCAGTGGTATTGAAACCCATAAATCATAGTCCAATGCTCAGACAGCTACACCATGCTAGATTTGTAAATATAGTCTTTAAATGTTGTTTTAATTGTATTATTATTGTTTTTAACGCTTGCTGTCACAGAATATTTGGTTGTATTTTAACTTTTGGGTTTTCTTGCATTTGTATTGTGCCATGTTGCTATTAGCCGCCTTGAGTCTGTGATGATGTGTAACTTTTATTCTTATGGTTATGGGTTGTTTAAACAGTAGTTAATAAATGGTAAGTATGTAGGATTATATTTTGTTAGAGATGGTGGCTGGTGGCTTGAGCTGAGTTGCCATAGCAACGGGGGCAAAACCAACTATCATTTCACGGCGCAGCTTTTTGAAAGTGGCAGTCTGTAAGCCAGTGAGCTACAGGGAAAACTGAATCTCTGGGTGGAGATTCAGGGAATTAATTTGTGACCAAAAGGGTTACAGGAAAGGACCCAGTAGTGATAAAACTACAGGGGTGTGAGCTCCCAGCAGCCGCTCCAAAAATGACACAGGATGCCGATCCGTAATCAATCAGGAAACTTTTACTACTGGATATGCATACACAACGAAAGCCAGGATTGGCACACCGTCTCGAGTCAACCCTTATATACCCTCCCCCGTATTCGAATCCCTTTTTCCCGCCGATCGTAGTTCCCGCTCAATGTTCCCCGCCAACCACCAACTGCTCCTCCCAAGGCCACCAGCTGCATACTCTTATCGGCTCTCCATGTCAGGATTCTGGTTTTTTGCGCCAATGTCCAAGGCCAGGAAACCGAGCCCTGACACAGGGGGTTATTGATTCTGGGTTAAGAATCAAGGTTTGGACGGGAGCCAATTCTATTGAATAGGCCTTTTGGCTTATTTGTTTTGTTGGGACAGTTGTCCAGAAGAGATACATCTGCTTATAGAAACCTCTTGAAGTCTGTGCC